TACCCCAGTGCGCACACGTGGGGTGTGCATATGTGTGAGTTTGGAGGAGACATATACTAGAGATTATGTGGATAGCTTTATTCCACAGCCAACTATTAACCTCACTACTACTATTCAGAAATAGAAACTGTAGTTAATTGGAAGGAAATTAATATGATAAAACACCTAGGAAGATAATTAATGTTGAAGAATGTCATACTTTAATACATTATGCCAGTAATAATCAAGCCTGGTGAACCAGAGCTTCCTCGTGTGACAGTGACACATCAGAGCATTCATTGGGGCCTCTCAGGCATGGTCCTTCATGGAACAACAGGAATACAAATGTGTTTCTCGGAAATATTTGCACATTTTGAAATATGGATGCCTGGAAAGAATAGCAAAAATGATCTTTCCTTCAGTATAAGATTTGTTTAAAAATTCATTCTAAAAATTGACTATAGGACAGGGATTTAGCTCAGTGGTTCCACTGCCTGCCTCGCAAGCACAAGGTCCTGAGTTCGATCCCTGGTACCAAAAAAAAAAACTGACTATAATGAAACAGCAAATATTAACTAATGAACAATAAATTGAGATCAACTTGAATATTTTCTGGTTTTCACTCACTGACAATTTGTACACAAGCATTTATTTGTCATTATTTATCAATATACTCTTAATTATTGATTGTAAAGTATTTTATTGCTATTTATATTGATTTATATTAAAATAGTATGTTCTATTCTAATTTTGCAACAGTTAGACTTATTTATTAAAATTTTAATCATAAAGAAATTAATAAATGAAAAATTTTATGATATATTTAAAAATTACTATTATAAAAGATGATTTAATCAAAATTTTAATAGACTGGTTTCTTATGTTGATTTCAAAAAGGGTAATGAAAAACAACGCCAAGTAAATATCATTTTTCAAAACCCATTTGGCTATCATACCTTTTGTTCTTCAATTCTTTATATTTTGGAGGACAAATTGACAAATATAAAATTTCTTAATTTAAGCTCTGGAAATGACTCTCAGAAACAGGCACTGAAGGGTTCCCCAAAATCTTACAAATAGCTATGGAAACAGCAATCGGTGAAGCAAAACACATTCTTGTAACAATCAGCTCATGAATACCATCTGCTTTTCAATAGGATGCTGGCTTAAACTCTGGAACAAAGAGATTTTAATAAAGAGGCTGCCTAATACGAAAAAAATAGCTCCCAAATTGTTAAACAAGTATGAAAATAGCACAGAACAGCTTTAACACTTAATAGTCTATGCTTCTTTTTGGCCAACAGAGGTGGGAACACTTTATATTTAGCGTTTTTAGCACCAAAAGTAGCAGGTATGATCACTAACAAAACATGAGCTACCTGTGAAATATATCGCCTTTCTTGATGGAGAGAGCGTGAGCACTGCTGCAGTTTGGGAGAGGAATCCAGAACGGATGAGGCCCTCCCTGTGCCGCTGGACAGATCGACTTTACGAGGCCCTTTCCCCCCATGGACCCCGCCCCCTCCCCGCCTCTTTGCAGAGAGCCTGCATTAACTTTCCTTCCCACTGTACTGGTGACCCCTGCAGAGCCCCACCCGCCGCACTGTGCGCGAGGACACCGGCTGGGCACAAGCAGCGGGTTCCTGCTCTGTTCGTGCAATCATCTTAGACGTGATGCTGGAGAAGATTCACACACGCGTGACAATACTGCATTCAGAGAAATCCTGGCAGAGCATAAGCTTACGCATTCAGAAGGGGAAGAACAGCAGAGAGAAGGCAGCAGAAGGAAATACAGTAACACTGAGTTGCCAACATGTGTCCTAGGAGAGCAAATTTGATTTTGTTTTTGCCTTTGCTTCAGATGGGAGGAAATTTTGAAGCCCTCCAAAATGCAAACACCTTGACAAATAAAGAGTTCTCTATAACTGATTTAAGCAATTAAATTGTTATTACAGAGACCCTACGATGAGTAAGGTACCTTTCTGGACACTGGGAATACAGCAGTGCAAGTAATAACCAAACATTTTTACTCATAAATACATTGAGTTGTTTATATTCTACTGGGTAAAAATGAAACGCAGAACCTCTTCATAAGCAACCCGTGCAGATGTGGGGACAGAAATGGACTCGCTGTGACAGGCAGAACGTGAGCGAGCCGCGGGGCGGTCTGCGGAGGTGCAGCCCCAGAGGGACCCTCGCACGGCCACGGCCACGGCCACGCGTGAGACACGCAGACCTGGGGAGGCTGGGAGGCGGGGCGTGGTGTTGGCTCCTCCAAGCACAGGCAGCCGGCTGCGGGAGGGGGAGCGGCCCTGTGCAGTTGTGCAGCCTGGATGGGGCTGGGAGAGGGGCAGAGACCCCGCCCCAAGGTCCTTGTTGAGAAATCTCTGGAGTCCACCCTCTCCTGTGCACAAGGGACAGGAACTGAGGCGGCTCAGAAAGTCACCCCGGGCAGTGGTGGGGGAAGGCGAAGGTGGCTCCCTCCGGCGCAGGTGCCGTGGCCAGAGGTAAACCCAAGTGCTTTCCCTCGGCAGACCCCACCCCAGCCTCATTACAGCACCTCTGCTCCTCTGTCTGCACATCAACGGAAACTCCGTTTAAGATGACTTCGTCTCTTCCTGGCCATCACAGAGCTCTGCCCTCCCATCCTGTCCCAGAGCCTCCCGTGTGGAGCCTTCTGGACGCTTCTTTGACACAGAAGGGCGTCGACTCCCAGGGGTGGCGAGCCTAAGGCACTCGTGTCACAGCTGGCTGTTTATCACGAGAGCTCCGACAGCCCAGCCGTCCCTGGCGACCCCATCTTCCAAAGGATGCTGCGCGTCTTTCTGCCTGGCCTCAGGGTCTACTGAGTGGTAAACGTTCTTCCAACTTTATTGGTCTGTAAACTACAGTACTCAGCTAGACTTCTTAAACTCCACTTATATCACGATGACTATCACTTAGAGATGCATTCCCAGTTTGTTTACTACTTAGCAAGTCATACTTATACAACAAAGATATTGCTTTAAAATAGACTCAATGTCTGTCGAGGTATTTGTACAGAGACTACTTATAAAATTTATATCTTAGAGGGCCGGGGACTTAGCTTAGTGGTTTCGCCGCCTGCTTCGCAAGCGCAAGGACCCGAGTTCGATCCCCGGTACCCCCCAAAAATTTATATCTTAGATTCAAAGTATCTAAAATGATAGAAAACTTTACTTGTTTACAAAATGGTCCCCTTTGTGCATGCTGGAGCACAGTAAATTTGAGTTTGTACACTAGTATTCCATACTACAATGCTCGCTGAGTTTGGCCAGTTGGAAGAACTACTGTATTGTGTGCCCAAGCTCCATATACCCAGGATGTTTCAGATTCAGTAGTTTATTAATTCCCCTCAATTTATGTCACAATTACATAATCAGAATTGCTTGTATAATCACTAATAAAACCTCTACCACCCATTGTATCTTCCTTTGCATACTTCCAGATCCAAAGTGAATACTGTGAGGAAATATATTGATAACTTGAGTGTCTTTTTTTTTTTTTGGTACCAGGGATCGAACTCCATACCTTGTGCTTACAAAGCAGGCGCCAGAACCACTGAGCTAAATCTCCAGCCCCTTGAGTGTCTTCTTTAACTGAGCTCATGTGATTAAGAGCATAGAGATATTAAGTAAATCATCAATACACCACTGGAAAAGCCTATTCTTTCTCATGTCAGAAGCCTGGAATATTACTTTTTATACTATTCAAAACTTATATTTGAAGTTCTCTATATAACTCTTTATGTGCATTTATAGGCCAGAAGTACAAAAATAAATAGCTATTCATTGTAAATGGGTTAGCGATCACTTTTCCCAAGAGATTTAATTCCAGAAACAAAGCTATGCATAAAGTAAGCCTCTGTGAACTCGATGAAACTAAGCTCACTACTGGGTCCTGACCACAGTTCCCAAAAGGAACACAGTTTTAATTCCAGGGTACACTGATTGAGAAAGAACATAGTATCAAACTAATGAGTTAATTTATTTATTTGTATGACTACCAATCTGTCTCCATTCCTACAAATAAACTTACCGTGATGGACAAAGGCGTATTTTTCAGCCCACAGCCAATATTAAACACATATAGGTCAGTGAAAACACAAAAATATTCCAGAAATATTTACTGAGAAGCTTTAGCATTCAAAACTAGTGCACTAGGGGCTCTGTTAATCTGAATAGAAGGCTTGTTCTAAATTCAAATGTTGTACCTATTAACCTTCTAAACATCTGTATATTTTATTTTCTTTATACTTTTTAGGGTTACAGTTACAGTAACCTTCTCAGTTAGAATGACCTTCATAAATATGGTTAACATATCTCTGAATGTTGTTTCCCTTGAAGCATATCTATGATTTTTTGAAAATAATTAATCTATATTACTTAAACATAAAAATCCTTTTTGCTACTATAATCGCTGTGACTAAGGCTCACCTGAAGTTAGATTAAGCAATTTGCCAGAAACCAAATAAGCACAGATAGCAATGACGACTGCCTTTCAGTTTCATCTGCCACCAACCATTTCTTCTGACCACTAACTGACCTCGGCTATTTCTGCAGCTACTGTGGCTGACAGCAGAGGACAAGACCAGTGGTCGCCACAAAGCCCCATCAGTGGGCTGCAGGACCAGGGTTAAAGATGTATGGTCATCCACTGCTCCATCTGCTTCTCCTCAATGTGCATCCCTCACGCTTGGGAATGCACTGAGTGATACCACTGAAATCAGACCACAGTGGATATTTGGGAGATTTCTGTATTAGAACAAAACTCACAATTCCATTAAGTCATAATAGAATGAACTTTCTCTCTCCCTCTGCCTCATCTGTTTTGTTCCTCTGGTGTTAAGTAAACACATGCTTTTCTATTTTTTCCCCAAACCTCTACCAACAGTCCTCCGCGAAATTTTCTGTTGTTAGACTGTTTGGTCACCTTCTAAGCTTTGCCAATACAGGACTGACATGAACACTCGCACTGTCTTCTGACTGAACGGAATCTCTTACCGTGAAGCCCTCGGTATACTGAAAAGGAGCCCTGGAACTCTCCTCTGCGGTTGGGCTCAGAGGCTTGGGGTCAGACAGCGACCGCTGCATCGTCTTGGCTGTCTTAGGGCTCGCGGGGGGTGCTTTGGCCATGTCCGGGTGCAGTACTTTCTGCGGACTGATTTCGTCAGGGAGGGGCTTTTCATAAGGTACAAAGGCTGATTCTAAGGCTTTGGCTGAGGAGAGGGGTGAGATGGGTGAGTAAAGGACTTTTGGAGATTTGGGCGGCGAAGGCGCTGGCTGCAGGGCGGAGTCTGCCCGGAGGTGGCAGGAGTAACCGATCTCCAGAGGTGTTGGGCGCTTCTTGTCTCTGGGAGAAGAGGCGCTCAGATACTGAGGGCTCTGCGTGTCCGAGTCTGCTTCTGTCTGACATCCCAGGCTCCCCCCTCTGAAAGTCTTTTCGGGAGCTGAAATGTGTTTAACGATTTCTACCTTGGCGTCCTCGCGGGCTCGGACGGAGGGTGTCCGGATGGTCCCCACGGGCTCAGTCTGGACAGAGATCTCGGCCACGGTCTGGACCGCGACGCTGGTCGCCTTGGAGGGGGCTCTGGCCTTGTCCGCCTCCGCGCCGCCGTCCGCGCCCTTCCCCACGCGGGCCTTCCTCCGTGACCTGCCGGGCGCGTCCCACTCGTCCTGGTCCTCGTCATCTGTCTGCACGCTGGTGTCCACGCCCTTCCGGGGCCTCCTCCGTCTGCTCGCATAGCTCCGCTCGGCGGCGTCCTCATCGTCGGTCTGCACGCCGCTGTCCACGATCTTCCTAGCGCCCCGGGGGTCCTCCGCTGCGCCCCTCCCCAGCTCGTCATACTGACCCCGGGCCTTGGCTCCAGAGCTTCTTTTTCTGGGCTGCTTTTCCTCCTTGACGACAACGTCCGTCAGAGGAATCTCGGAGACGGTGCTCAGGATGCCGGGCGGGGCGATGTACTGCGTGACCCCGTCTGACTGCACCGCGTACCAGCCCTGGGCCTGGGGGATCTCCAGGGCCACCCCTCCAGACGCTGTGGTGGTCGCGTCCTCAGGGGCCCAGAACCGAGCGCCTTCGGGGGCCGCATACGGACCCTCCAGGACGGCCTGCTCTGCGGGGGCCTGGGGAGAAGCCGCTCCCGAGGGTTCATAGTTGTACTGGTAGATCTGGCGGATCTTCTGCTCCTCCAGCTGCTGGTGAAGCTGCTGCTGCAGCTGTTGGATCTGCTCCAGCTGCAGCTGCTGCTGAGCCAGGGTCTCCTGCCTCATCATTAGCTGGGCCTGCCGCTCTTCTTCCTGCTGGTAGAGCAGGTGCTGTTTCATAGACTGCAGCTCCTCCAGCTTCTTTTGAACCATGATCTTTTCCTGTTCTCGGAACCTCTGGATTTCCTGACGTTCCCACTCCAGTTCCTCAGCAAAGCGCTGTTGCTTGATTTTCTCCAGTTCCAAGAGTTCACGCTCCAAGTCGAGTTGCTGCTGTTGCTTGTCTTCCTCGGGGACAATTAAGAGAGTGCTTTCATCTCCCACCACTTGAGAAAACACTTCAGCCACTGTGGTCAACGTGGGAACGGAGTCTATGGCCTCTGCGGTCAGAGCTTCCATAGTAATCGTCTGCAAACTGGCACTGATGTCAACACCAGTTACTGCAACGTCTGTCTCAGATGAACCGGTGGTTATGAAATAGGATCTCGGCAGTGGCTGGCTCTGGTGCAGGACGGACAGCGAAGTCACCGAGTCGGCTGTGTGAATGCCAGACAAATCCCTTATGGTGGTGCTGAAAATGGAGCCAGGCTGTGTGGTGATCGCAAAGGTGGAGGGGACTGGAGTCGCTACCGAAGAATAGACGACACCATTAGATGACCTCAGAACACTGCCCACACCATACTGGGGTCCTGGAGGCGGGGTCATTCTTGCTGTGGAATACTGTGGGGTGCTGATCCCAGCTCCCGAAATGACTTGTCGTGTTTCTGGATACGCACCTGTAGTCTTGCTTGAATAATCCATTACCTCACCTGAAACACAGGGCAGAGTTACAGTCCAGTTCTCACATGAAGGACGGGTTTGAGAGCCCGCTCATCTTGATGAACACAACGAATGGGACTGCATGCAAATCCATGGGCAACCTAATTAGATGCGGAGCAAAAGCAACGTTGGACATGCAGGCACATGCAGGCGACTGACTGGGACAAATAAAAAAAACCGAAGAAACAGAAGCGCACATGTACTCCAAAATATGTTGCCAGAGCCTCCAAAGAAACAGAAAGTGTAACAAAACTGGGATGCGGACCACATTTTCATCCTGAAATGAGATGAGGGTCACCATAATGATATTTCAAGGACAGGTCTGTGGCCACGTCATACTGACCTGTAGAAATTCTCCCTGAAGTTAGATCTACTGCTGCATCAGCGCCTCCAGAATAATCAAAAGCATTCTTACTTTTATAGAAAAAATGTCCAGCTTCTGCTAAATTAGTGTCGGACATGGAGGGTTTCATTCCACCGACCCCTCTATAACCATATGGCCCCGACCTGCCATACTGATAGTGGTCATCCCTATAACCAAAGCGGTCCTCGGGAAGAGTGGCTGCAGGCTGCTGGGCCGTGCAGCTCCTTCCGAAAGGCAACTTAGAGACCACATCACAGCACACAGCCCTTCTTCCTGCAGTCAAATCAACAGGTTTCTCATCATCTTCTATTATTTTGGTCACCACTCCGGAAGTAGAGTCGCCTATGGTTACAACAGTTCTGTGAGACTTTGTTGTGCTGAGATCCACTACTTCCCCCTCCAGGATTGCCTGGGATGTTGTGCTATCAGTCCATCCATTTGTGACCCCAACGGGAGGCGCGGTGACAGGTTTTGTAATGGGCAATGGGGCTGCATGTGCTGAAGGACCTAGAGACAGGTTTATCGGGGCTTCCTCCCTAGGTGGGGGGAAGGCCTGGGTGCTGGGCACCCTGTAGGGGGGCTCCGCGTGCTTTGATGTAGTGAGTTGCAGTGGGGCTGGGATCGCATGTTCCACTCCCACCAGGCTTTCTGTAGCTGTCGTGTAACTGGCAGTAGTTGTGCATGTGACGACATTCGCCGCCTTGGTGTCCAGGGAGACTGGAGCTGCCCCTGATGACACTGGACTGAGATTGATGACAGAAGGCTGCACCACACTCACTTGCCTCCCATACGTGTCATTCGCCATCATCTGTCTCTTCACATCCACTGCAGAGGCAGAAAGGTCCACGCATTTTTCAGTAGCTTTCACATCTGCTTTGGGTACTGTACGCAGGTCAATGGCGTCACCAACAAGTTGCAGCTTTCCATTTTCTTTGTACTGACGTTTCTCTAGGTGTAGGTTATCTAGAGCAAGCGGCTCGGGAGGAATTGATATGGAAACGCTGCCAGGACCAGTGCTGGCGAAGGTACTTCTGGCTGCTGGAGCCTCCGCCTTGTAGACCTGGACTGGGAGAAACTGTGGATCTGACACTGGAGCACCCTGAAAAGGAGACAGCATCGCCACTGTCGTGGCAGCTGAAAATGTGCCCACAGTTCCTTCGAGGTACAGGGTTGGCTGAGAAGAATCTGGAATTTCTGCAGAGCTCACAGGAGGAATTACAGAAAACACTGGTTCAGTGGAAACCAGCTCCTTTGGGGGGGATCCCAGGGCCCAGCTGGTCATCGCCTGGCTGGGAGAATCGGTGGGCGTCCCCGGTTCTGAGGGCAGTGTAATAACCACATACGTTTCCATGAGGGATTTGGGAACCCTCGGGGAGGACTTGCTGGAGTGTGGGGAGAGTGGGGGAGTAGGGGAAGGCGGCCTGTACTCTGTGGGGGGCTCGAGGTCCAAGGTCATACTTGGACCCAATGACAGACCTGCGGGTTTCTGGGCCACGCCCGGGAGCTGAGGACCTGCTGGTTTGGGGGCAATGGGAGGTTTGCTTGGCTCGGGCCTGTGTGTGAATATGAGTGCAGTGCGGATGGAGGAAGGCTTGGGAGGCACAGGAGGGGGAGCCGCCGTGCACATTTTTGTCCCAGGTGACTCACTGCTCCTCAGGGCAGCCTCTGCCCCTGCAGTAGTGACAGCATCAACCAGAGGCTCCACTGTGGTAGCTGGAGTCAGGGGAGCAGCAGCCGTGGGCTTTCGCTTAGGGAGAACAGCTGGTTTAGGTGATGCTGGCGGCGGTGGCGGCGGGGCTGAGATGTCCAGAGAGGTGCTTCGGGAGAAGGGTCGAGACTGGGCTGGCAGGGAGGATGCCGAGGGGCTGCCAGAGCCAGGGGCCAGGTGAGAGGGCGGGCTTTCCTGACCCACGCCCTCACTGGGTCTGAAGTAGGCAGAGGCGGGCGGCTCCGCCACCGGCGCCATCCCTGGAGGGGCCCAGGCAGGAGAGGCAGGCTGGGCACACGCAGCTTCACCCAAGATTGTTTCCCTGGGTTCAGTCTCAGGCTCTTTGCTTTTATCTTCATACGCGTCCAAAACGTCCAGAATAGCCCCATCACCGGGCTCCTTCGCCGCTTTTTCAGACACAGGAGAGTGGGCGCTGGGCCCCTCAGCATCGGTTCCCGGGGCTGCAGGGACACGAGGTGCAGCCTCTGCAGCCTCGGGTTCGGGAATCGCCATGAGCTCCGCTCCGGAGCTGCTTGCTGGGGCGCCGCTCTGTCCCCTGGAAGGGCGGCTTATCTCCTCCGGGTAGTCAATGACGCTCCCAGGAAGGTAGGTCGAGGAGGAAGTCTGCGCGGAACCCTCAGACTGGGCTACCGTGTCTGCCGGCCCTGTGCCCACTGTGCCCAGGCCGTGCAGGGTGCCGACGGGCGAGGAGCTGCCGGTGGTGCAGATAGAGGACAGGGAGGAGGTGAGGGAAGCCGTGTCCCACGGCGGGGCGGACGCGGCGCTCTCTGAAGGCTCCCAGGAGGCCAGGATCGGTGACTCCTGGGCGGTGACCTCGCGGAGCTCCCCCGAGTAATCGGTCACGTACTCATCCTCTGTTTCTTCTGTGGAAAAGTGCTGCGTGATTCGCACATCCGGGATGGACAGGGTGGCGCTGCTGGTGGAGTCTGTCAGCGAGGCGGCCGAGAGGACGCTGGAGGTCAGCGAGGCGTCGGGCACCCTGTCGGCGTCCACCGCCGCCTCGAGCTCCGCGGGGGCCGGGCTGGGGCGCAGCTGCATGTGCTGCCGCCTCAGGAGCGCCTCGTAGGCCGCGTCGGCATCCAGCAGCTGCTTTTCTTCGCCCGCGGAAGTCACCGGAGAATCCAGGTCCACTATCTCGGGGCTCTCGGGGATGATGTACGAGCTGCACACGATGTCCTCCCGCGGCGCCATGGGGCGCAGGCGCTCCAGCCCCGGAAGCTCGTCAGGGAAGCCCAAGCCCTTCTGCGCGGAGCCCGCGCGTGCGCCCCCCGGGGGCCCTGCCGGCTGCTCCCCTCCTCTCTGCGCGGGGAACTCGCCGTCCTCGTCCGGCCTGGGCAGCAGGCCGCCGTCGGACGGCCCGAACGAGTCCCGCACCAGAGACTCGTAGATGTAGTCCTCTATCAGCATCCCGCCGTACAGCGGCTCCTTGTCCAGGACCTCGTCCCGCTCGCTCGTGGCCGGGAGCACCCGGGGCCGCGGGGGTCTCTGCACCCCCTCCTCGTACAGGTCCCTGGCGCTTCGCGGCGCGTGCGGAGCGCCTTCCCCGAGCGCGAGGGCCCGCTCGTCCGCCGGCGAGCCCAGGGACAGGGCGGCGGGCAGCCTGTACACCTGCTGGACCTCCAGGATCTTCTCGGGGCTGACCTCGAAGCCCTCGGGGTCGGACTCGAGGCTGGGCGAGTACTCGGAGCAGGAGGAGCGGCGCAGCTCCTCCATCTCGGCCGCCTGCCGCAGCTCCTCGGTGGGTGACGCGTCCTCGATGGGCGAGAGGTTGCTGGGCGGCGTCCGGGGCCGCTCGCGCCGCCGCTGCGCCCGAAGCTCGTCCTTGTCCTTCTTGGACCTCCTGCCCGAGCCGCGCCTCTGCTGCTGCTCCGCCTCGCGCTGCTTCTCCTGCTCCCGCAGCAGCTGCTCCTCCTCGCGCAGCTCCTCCTCCTCCGAGGAGTCCTCGATGGTGGGCAGCGGCGGGCCGTGGCCGCGGTGCCGGGCCTTGCGCGTCTGCTTGCTCTCGCCGGAGCGGTGGCTCGGGCTGCTGTCGCTGTCCTCATCCAGCGACGACACGGACGTGGGCGAGGTGCCGGGCGTGAAGCTGGAGGCGTGCAGGCTGGAGGAGCCCTCGCCGCGGGAGCGGTCCTCGGGCGAGTCGGTCAGGCTCTCCATCTCTAGCTCCGGCTCCTCGTCGGGGAAGAGCGCGCGCCGCTGCTCGGCCGAGCTCAGCTCGATGGTCTTGAAGCGCCGCAGGCCCCCGCCGGCCGGTGCCCGCTCCTCGCCCTCCTGGCTCTTGGTCTCCCCGCCTCTGCCCTCGGGGCTGTCGTCCGCGGCCTCGTCCTCCTCTTCGTGCCATGAGTGCCGGCGGCCCGCGTCCTCGTCCTGCGCCGCAGCGCCCTTGCGCGGGGCCCGGCGGTGGCGCACGGCCGTGGCCCGGGCCCTGCCCCGCGCTGCCTCGGGCGCCCCTGGCTCATGCAGCCGCCGCCGCATCGCCGAGTCCTGGTCGTCGGAGCCAGAGGCGTCCTCGTCCTCGTCAGCGCTCACCTCCAGGATCTGCTTGCGGATGAAGTCCTCCTCCTCCTCCTCCCCGTCGCCCGAGCCTGCGCTGTCCTGCTTGTCCTCCTCGCTACTGGAGGAGCCCACGCTGGCCCCGCGCTTCCTGGGCGGCACAGGCGAGGTCTCGCCCTCGCTGCTGTCCCCCGGGGGGCCCTGGCGCCCCTTCTCCGAAGCGTCCTTCTCCTCCTGGCGCTGCCCGAGCCCGCCTTCTGCCGCACTCCTGCCCACGGTTCTGGAGAGTCCCTGAGCTCCCTGCGGGCCCCTAGGTTGTTCTGGGCAGGCCTCCGGGGGTTGCGCCTTCTTGTCTGGCCCTTCGTCCACCAGAGTAGTTGCCTGGGCTTCCAGGATGGAGAGGACCGTGCTTTCCAACTTGGCCAGGTCGGAGGGGCTGGAGGGGCTGCTTTCTCGGGAAAAAGTGTCCTTTTTGAGTTCCTTGAGCAAATCCTTCTCATCGCTGGGAATAAGACTTGGAATTTCACCAAGGGAACCTGATATTCCATCCGAAGAATATCCTGTGTCACTCAGACCTTGCGGGCTTTTAGGCTGCTGAGAGCTTGAGGTGTCAGACTTGTCCTCCTCCTTGTCCTGGCGGGAAGGAAAAGACACAGGGACACTTAGGACAGAGACACTGAACACACGGCCCTTCCACTATGCCCACATAACCACGAGGGACCCGGGAATCACAAGGACATCTTCTCAATCAGGCCAGTAGTTTAAGGCCTAAATGAGAGCAGAAAATGAAAACAGCTGGAATGTCAGGTTAATTTAACCTAAGTTTAATTTACGGGCTACTTCTTCATGACCTCTGAGTTTCTGCCATGAGCACTCTACCCTTGTACATTTAACTTTGCTTCCAAGGTGTTATGTTTCTCAGTACCTTACTATCGGATGACTTAGAACTGTACAGGAAAAACTTTAATGGTAATTTTCTGTTAGCATAGAATCTCTGGATTGTTAGGTCAGGCAAAGAGAGAATCAGAGGATGAGCCTGGTGCTTGTGCGGGTGGTGGGAAATTTACCTAACAAAGTAAGCAGCTCACAGCTGCACGTTCCTCCTGATGAAAGGGTCGTTCGTGTTTTTGCTTTATTAAAGTACATTTTGGATGCTGTAAAACACGGCATATTCTTGGTATTGCTCTTACAGTTATTCCTCTCTGTCACTTCGAATGAATGTTTAGAAACTGTGAACTTGGAAAAAAAATCACACCATAATTGTTCTGACTCTTTGGTTCAGCTAAACAGAAATATTCAATTTGTTATTTTCTAGAGCCATTGATCCTGTTTTCACTTCCTGCATCAGTGTTGTCTCACACTGCTTTCGTCATGGACTTCGGAATCACTTGGTGTTTCATGCTAAAGGCAGATCCTTCAACCAGGGCAGTGACCAATGTGAGTGGCCCCCAGCTGTCCCGTACAGGGACACTCAACTTGTCCCAGTGCTCTCCTCGTGTTGTGCTGCTGCCACACGAGCGAGTTTAGCTCGAGAGTCAGAGGGGCCTTTCATGAAAATGTTAACCACAGAGACTTTATAATAAAAATACCCCTGAGAACAGGCCACCCGATCCGTCCACTAGCAGCTGGTGGACACCAGTAGCCACAACCCTGTGGAAAGAAGGGTTAGAAGAAAAGCAGCTGATGTAAATGTTGCTGACTTAATTCTCACCTTATATTCATTTTCATCTCAGTATAAAAGTTTATTGCATATGGCCAAAGATATATCCTGAGCGCATTATGGGGTAAAATGTTTTTGTTAAGCTTATATGAATGACTCAATTCAGGACAATCTGACACAGTTTTCACAGCTTGATTGTTAAGAACCATCCTGGCTCATTTCAGATGTCTTTCCAGGAAATGCTACTTATCTGGAGCTGAGACGCCCGCATGAGGACCCCGTGCACTCTGGCTCCCTTTCCCCGGATCCGCACTCTGAGAGGCAGACCGTGGCCCTCTGGTCACAGCCGTGTCTGTGGTAGGAGGCATGCCACTTGGCTGCACTTCACACAGCTCTGAGCACACAGTGTGTGGGGCCCAATTAGCGCATCCCACCTCACCCATTCTCAGTAAACATCGTCACCAGGAGAGAGGGGTGTGTAAGCTCTGTGAGCAAAACAGGGCAAGAGAATAATGGATTCCAAAGGCTCCCTGACATTTTACAGAAATAATAGGATTAGACATACATAATGTTACAAGAAAATGAAGAAATATTAGACAAAAGACTAACACAGAAACCCTAAAATTTCTGCCCTGTGACCCCCATATGGCTTCTCTCTCTGGGCCCATGCTTTCCTTCCTTCCTCAGTGCTCTGTTCTACCCACTTGTCCTCCTGGTCCCAGTCACGCTCCTCCAAACCCTTCACCGGGTGCGATCGATATCTACCTGAGGTGATGCTGCTCTGAGGACTCTTCCCCCAAAGTGACTCTTCCTATTCCATGTTATAAGGTGGCAAGCCTCTCCAGTGTTTGTTCTCCAGACTCGTGAGCTCTAAGATCAAATGTTGGGACCAGCTGATCAGGAAATCAGAAGGCATGTGGCTCATATATTCAGAAGGGACGGCCTCTGGTCCTTATTTATCATGGCATATTGAAAAAAATTACTGGTTCAGTTTTTCCTGTCTGACTAGCTTTAGGTGTGAAGTCCCTAACAGAATCAGTTCCCTACTTCATTACCCTGTTGGCTGTGGACCATCAGATCACACACTATCCAGGCCCTTTGCAGCAGGGACCTGTGTATTCAGCTTTATAAATGCTACTGAGTTTTTGAAGTCTTTTCTTTTACAGACAGAGTGGCACTCTCAAGTGCTTATGGACCCTGGCCATCCGTTAACCCTTTCCATATTACCCCCCACTTTTGTGAGAGACCTGCATTACCATAGGAGTGCAATTTGTATCAGTGCAACCTAACTGATGTATACTGCTAAATACTGCTTCCTTAGTAACATCTATAAGAAACTAGACCAGATAAGAGACACTGGATGAAGCAGAGAAGAATGTAAACAGTATGTAATTTGGAACCTGTTTTCTAATTACTCATCTTCAATGTGTACCTGAATTACCAGAAATCTAGAGGACTGATCAAAGGGTTCATGTGAAGGAAGCATAATTCAGCTCGTTTTCTTGTAAATTTCACAATCTACATGACTAAAAGACTGGGAAATTTCTCTTGGTTGCTTCAAAAAGGTAGGGAGGTGTACTTATTTTAAGAAGACTACTAAGCTATTTAGTAACAATATTTAATGATATGAATGGGATAAAATGGTTCTTTCTAAATTATGTATTTATATTTGTAACACACATATACATGTGTGTATAAATATCATTGAGTTTTTAGAATTTATTTTCTCATTTGAACAATCAGGAACTTGTCATTTGTATTATTCATTAAACTGCTAAAAATGCAATACAACTTAGAACAACCTCTAAATATACAAAAATAAAATATCAAGTATGTTCTTTTTGCATGGAAATTACATTTTCATCTTTGATCGAGGGAGTGAGCAAGAATAGCTATAATTTAAGCATGTATTTTTAAACAGCTTTGTTTTCATTTTTTCTAAGAAAATATTTTTTCATCGCTGAAGATTGAATCCAGTGCCTTTGTACTGAGCATATCCCCAATCAATTATTTTTTAAAAATTTGAGACAAGGTCTTGTTAAGTTGCCCAGGCTGGCCTTGAACTTGTGATCCTCCCTCCCTGGCCTCTCAGAGCGCTGGGATTGCAGGTGTGTGTGCTACGTCCAGCTATGTTTTAACAATATTGAAGAACAGACTCTATTACACTGGCTTTATTTTTATTATATATGGCACTTTCCATATATATTATCTTTCCATACTGAAAGCAAACAATAGTTTTCTGAATAGTGCTATGTTAAGACCTGAATTTAGGTTATATATAAAAGGGTGCAAAGAAAGTGACTGTATTAAAATTTAGGCTAATTTTCCCAAAGCCATTTATTTTTGATAGGCTAAAATTATGGAACAAATTCATAATCTTTTTATTATTTATACAAAGTTTGTTTGCATAGGTTGCTAATCTGGGTGTTTGAAACATTCCAAACAAAATGAGGTCCATAAAGTTCACAGGACTAGAATAAGGAAAGAGCAAACATTCCCACCTAATCATCATAATATGGGTTTCTTGTCACTACAGAAAACCTGATTATGTCTCACCCTAGCTGATTGTATAGTCACTATATACAATGGTTGTATGTGATTTGAATATTAATCCTTCACTTTTTCTATTTTAAATAGAAATTGAAAGCATGCTAAAGTCTATTCAAGATTCTGTTGAAATCAAGAAAGCTACAGTAATTCAGTGCAATACATCAAATATACCCTAAAAGAGTATTCTGCTTATGTATACAAGTACAAAGAATTCTGTAACATGACTTGTAAAAATATTAAGAAAGTGTACTTTTCAAATACTTTATATTCCAGGATTAATTTTAATCCCTTTCAACCAATACATTTTTGAAAAATTGAACAAAGAAAATTATGTGGCAACAAATAAAAATAATATTATACAATAACAATGTGAACAACATAAGGAAAAAATAAATGAATAAAATCATGTGAATATATAAAAGTAAAAATGACACAAAGTAGGGTTCTGGTGGAAGTTGCTAAGGGAGACAACTGATCATCATAACGCAAAGCTCCAGTGCTAAGCGTCCTGGGAGAAAAAGGGCCATGGCACAGCCCTGGTCATCAGACTGGACCTCAGTACAGTTCTGCTGCTTTCCAGCTATAGCATTTGGGGCATACGAATCTGATTTCCCCATCTTTCAATCTGATTCCCTCAAGCATCATAACATTTACCTGGTCAGTAGTTGTGTAAAGGATTTACAATGCCAAGAATAGAGTAAGAGGTAAATTAAGAATATTATTGTTATTTTAACAAAAACTAATTAAAAACTAACTCATACAGGCACTTCAGTGGCCAGAGAAGTGGCTGCACTGGGGAGAGGAAGAGCAGACTTGTGAAGGAGGGGCCCATGGTGGCCTGGAGAACCCAGTCAGACCCTGTAGGGTGAGGTGAAGGTGCCCCATCGGCACATTGGAGGCTGAGCAAGGGGTGGCAGGGGACAATGCAATCTGTGTTTAGGAATCACAGGCAGCAAGCCTTTGGTTTTAATTTCCAGTCATACTGGAGCCAACTGCAGAGGACTGAGAAGGCTGGATTAGCAGGACTTTCCACTGTAGGGTGGAAGGAATCTCCACTGTGGGGCACAACTACCCATGCTAGGCAAAATGACCAAAGGACCACAAGGAAACATTAAGATTTTTATTGTAAGTTTTAAAATCCAAACAGAAAATAAAGTAAGTTTTCCAAATATCTTAAATAGATCAGCACCAGTATTGCCTCATTTCTTGTTAGATGTTAGGTCACATGATCTATGGAAATGCTGGGAAAACACTGGAAGTTGAACTCCACAGAGCGGCTATGTACAGACAACTACCTCATGCGTTCCTTTTTGCATTCAAGTTTAATGTTCAGCTAAGCACATTTGGCTTTTATTGCCCAGTTTTAACCAAACCAACCTTTCTATAAGGGGTAATTAGTAGGCAAAATATACCTGCAAAAGAATCGTGTGTTGATAAAATTAATAAAGTAGCACATATCCATTATGATGGAACCTGAGATTTTTCATATGGTGACTAGACTTAAGTCGGACACATTTCAGGGTAAAAATAATGACAAATTAAACCAAATCTGACATGAAGTTGACCAAAAGTTTTTGACAATGCCAAGAAAATGATTTTAGATCTAGATCTACATCCATTATTGCAAATAAGAAAGTGAGTGTACCTACACATATAACGTGCTTTGGAGTTGGAGGCAGTACATTTACGACACCATCACAAACCTTGATAATGTTTAGCAAATAAGCTTTTCAGTTCTTCACTGGTTTTGACTAAATTGAATTAAAAATATTTGAATCGTCTCTCAAATTTTACCACTTAATTATAATTGTAAAAAAAAAAGGCACAAATTGTTCAAGGAAATGTTTTTCTGCCATAGAAATATGACTGAAGTAAAATGTGGAAAATACTATGGAGACAACTTAAATTGCATTCCTTTGCCTGAAAACATTGGAAGAAAAGAAGAAAAGAAATGAGGAAGACCTGTGGAAAAGTTACTAGAACAAATTAAGTAGCACATGGTTTGACAGTAATAGAATCAAATTATAGGTATGTACTGAGCACATAATATTCCCTATTTCTATGTAAAAAAAAATACAGTATTCCAAGGAAAAGCATACCGATAAACACTGCTGTGGCTGTATCTACATGTCCACCCAAAGCCTTAGGCAGTCTTTTTCAAGGTACCTAGATTGGCAGTGTGTGACGCTGGGACTGAGGGCGTATGATTACTAAGCCACACTCGAGTAATTGGCTTAGCACTGCCCTGATCCCGGGAGCCAGGGTGGGATAAAAGGGGCAGAAAGATGCTGTGAAGGTCCTTTGTTGCTCCTGCTGTCTTCCACCACCATGAACTGCTGCCCCTCTGCCACCTGCCTTGGAACCAGCTGATTATGGACTGAACCTCTACAAACTGTGAGCCAAATAAACCCCTTCCCCTCTAACTTTGGTGTTGGGTATTTTGTCTCAGCAATGAGACAAAAGTAACTAACACAAAGGTATAGCCTCAATGTTAACAGACTTGTTTAATAAAAGTACACATATTTTTAGTGGAAAAACCCCTCTGCACATTAAAAATGAGGAGTGGTGTCTCTAACTGGAATTATTTTTGTTAAAGGGAAAGATTACATAGTTCCTAAATAGCATTACATGTCAAATTCAGCTACTATATCAGTTACAAGTTGTAAGGATAGAGTGCCTCAGGATGTTAATGAAGTAGTATAATGTATACTAATATGGGAAATAACTAAGATTATTTTATAGAAGTTTACTGATTAACTCATGCTAAATTAATTTAAAATGCAAATTATAAAATTTTAATCTTTTAAAATAAAAATAAAAGGATTCTAAAGCCCAACTTTTTTATAACAAGTGGTTATCAGTGATGTATCACATAAGTATCAGATACTTTGGTTATCCACACTGGTTATCCACAGTTTACTACACAGGAAGTGTTCGGGGAAAAATTATCTCTCCATCTCTGAGAAAATCACAGTGTGGAAACTTCCCTTTGAAGATAGTTTGAAGTCATTACATGATTATCCTACATAAAATGATGCCAGCTTTTAAAACATCTAGAAGATTAGAACATTGTAATCCATTAAAGAACTTCCCAAGTGAACAATTCCAGAATGGTTTTAAAGACATTTGTTAAAAAATTTAAAAAAATACATTTTCTGATAGCTAACAAAAACAAGCAAATACATATTCTGATAGCTAACAAGAACCTATCAGTGAATATTAACATTTAGTGGAATTTCCACTTTTTTTCCAGAATTGGTGTTCAACTCTATACTTGGAAATTAGATAGCGAGATTTGGTGAATACAACATTTGATACAGTTTTTCAATTTCTCATATATACCTGTGAGGTATTCTTTGTTTGCTATAGTCATTAAAAATAAACAACATATCAGAACAATTTATATTCATGCAACTTAATTTTGAAGTTAAGTTTCAAATAGTTGTGACGTAAATCTTAGACCAAGATTAAAATACATGTTTCTCTGAAATATTATTAATCATATTTTATTGTGAAACATATACATACCTAATTTAAATAATGAAACTGTCATTTTAGTTTATTTCACTGACTTATTTTTTCTTCTTTGTGAATGTTTTACAGTGCAATAATGTAGCAGCAAAATAGTGCAAACATTCAATCGATAGATAAAAGAAACACAAGTTGAATATCACTTATCCAAAATTCTGGGTACCGCAAATAGTTAGGATTTCAGATTTTGGGGGAATTTTGGAATATGTGCATGCATGTGATGAATCTACGGATGGGGCCCTAAAATTCATCTATGTTTCATATTCGCCTCATAGACATAGCTTAATTTCACACTGTTTTTAGTATGCTTATGTTCTGACTGACACCCACTGCACACGTTCTGGTCTGGAAATTCCCACTTATACCTCACATTAATACTCAAAATATTTCAGATTCTGGATTACGTCAGATTTCAAATTTCCAGGTTTGGGCTGTTCGACTTGTATACACATATTGAGGTTGCAAGGATAAAATGAAAATGGTAACTGAAAAATAAAAAGGCATTAAAAGTATGTGAAATCTTCCTGTTCAGATTATATTTAAAATGCAACAGAGTCATTAGCAATAGCTGAGTGATGAGGTTAAATTACGTGAGCCCTGGGAAGCCCTTACCTGCCAGCCATATGTAAGAGATAGGAGGAGGAGGGGCTTAGTCACCAGACCCCTGGTTACCGCAGCCACGGGCAGAAGACGTGGAGCAGTAAGTCGAGCCGGGCGGTGCCCTTCCAAGGAGCAAGGAGCTCGCATGCAGCAGCACAATGAAGTCCATGTGTAGGACAAAGGCCAGAGAAGACAACACGGAGCCCTCAGGAGGGCAGTCGCTGGGAAGAGGAGGCGCGTGAATGCCCGAGGTGTGCTTCTGTCAGAAGTTGACTCTGACTCTAGAAGGGGAAAGGCTAAGATAGCCAGACTGGGAGTGTGCGGCGAGGCTTGGGAGGGCGCGATTGCTGCTTACTGGAAAACATACCCAGGACACTCACAGGACAGGCTGAGCTGCCCACAGAGTTGTAGCCCCGGGGCAGAAGAGGATAGCGCTCAAAAGGAAAACCCTGCCATTGGTAGACTGGCAAAGAACAATTATGGCGATACAGTAAAACTAAGGGTGATCAGAAAAAAACAAACAAGAAGTAGAGGTAAAAGCTCTGGAGAGTCCCCCAGGGAGAAGAGGAGAAACGGCCAAGTTCTACAAAACCGCCCGGAGAAGAAAAGGCTCGTGCGGGCCGGCGGGCGGGCGGAGAGCCAGTCAGCCACGGGGTGAGATGGGGTCACCGGCCGGCCTTGCTGAACACCGACAAAGCTCACTGCTCCAACAGAGGAGGCAGGGCTCGCTCGGGCTGGGCTGCTCACCGCGTGCACAACCACACATGCTAAATTAACGGGAACAACTAAGTCAGACTTCAATATAGCTTCCAGTTGCAGTTTTACTAGAATATTTAATTTTCCTAAAATTAGAATTATCCAATTACATATGATGCAAGAATGTTTGTAGCTCTAATAAATCAGAGTTCTACTGATAACGATACAATTGCTTGTATAAATATTAAAGTGGTGAACTCAAAAATTTTCACTAAAGAAAAAATATATATTATGCCAGATTACACTTGGATTATAGATGATTCTTAATATTAAGTGTATTAAATGTGCAAATGTGATCCTCAATGTTAAATGTACAAAACTCCTAACTGAATATTAAAATCACACTAAATATTAAAACAACTTCCTTTATAAAATTTAAAAATGATTTTGATCCTGGATTTTAGTCATACTTCCCTTTTGTTGACAATCATCATATGGCTTGGCCACATTGTAAAGGTTTTCAAGCGGGACAAAATGTGTTGCTTCTCACAGAAGCAAATGGCTAAATGAACAGAAACTTATATAAAGGCACATTATTTTATGTTAAAAGGAAATACTGATTTTTGGGCCGGGGATTTAGCTCAGTGGTTCTGCTGCCTGCCTCACAAGGACAAGGTCCCGAGTTCGATCCCTGGTACCAAAAAAAAAAAAGAAAATACTGATTTTAAAGTTCATTGTGGAGAAAAAAGAATAACTTAAAACTAAGAAGCTTAGCACTATACGATGTTGATACACATCTGGTAGGAATGAGATTGAAAAGTGAGTTTTATATTTATGTGTACACTTGATTAAGCTAGCAAAAGGACAAAGTTCTTTGAATTTAACAAAAAACAGTATTATACTCCTGTGAGAATGTAATTCATTATTTGAAGGGCTTTACTTCTATATTAGATTGGGAGATCTATGTACTAAGGGAGGATTCAGTACATTGCATAAGCAAGACTGCAAAGTTAGGGAAATACAACTTACTGTTTTTTCTCTCCCGGGTTCCACCTGTTCAGGCTTTGCCGGGCCTGCAGCCTGTGGCTGCCCCATCCTCTCCGCTGTCCTATCCTCCTCCGAGGGCAAAGTCTGCACTGGGCCAGGCGGCGGACCTCCCATCTGGGGCTGTGACTGCTGCTCCTCTGGCACCCTCTCGGGAGCCCCTCTGTCTCTGGACTTCTCTTCAGCGATCTGTACTACAGGTTCAACTGCTGCACATTTGTCTTCCTCTTCCAGGGCCGATGTTTTTGCTTCTGAAGATAACCTCATGTCTTCAGGCATTGGGCCCTTTTCTTCAAGGGGCACCTTCTTCTCTTCCAGAGGTGGTGTCTTTTCTTTGGTGGTCAACGTTCTTTCTTCTGAAAGCAGCTTTTCTTCTTTGGGCAGTGGCTTTTTATCTGGAAGGGTTGAAACTTTGTCTTTCTCCACTTTACTCTCTTCTTGTTTTGGATCAGAGGTTACCTTAGAAGTCTTTTCACTTGAAGCTGTTTCTTTTACCTTTTCTGGAATGGGTTCTTCAGCCTCGGTTTTTACTTCTGCTTCCTTCTTTTTCAATTTTCCCTGGGCAGCCACTGCTGCTTTCTGAGATGGGTGCTCTGTGGGGCCAGGCACAGGGGACGCTTTGGGTCCAGAGGGTATTGGTGGCATTTTGCCCATATCTCCAAGCTGTCCGGATATCGCTCTCCGAGTTTGGCAATTTAAACACAGCCATTCTTGAATCTGCAAATAAAACAGAAACAAAATGACTGATTATATCATCATGCTTCTGTTTCCCTGCATTTAAGAAGGTAAAAATTTGCCAATGCATAGTTGCTTTTTTGGTATATGGGAAACATAGGACATTATTTTCTAAATCAGTAAAACAGCAAGTTTTAAGAGGGTTACAAAAAGATGGTCTGAAATCTAAAACAGGGTAGAATTTTTAGAGACTAAGAGTTCAGTCTTCTTACCATAAATGAGGAAAGAAGGAAGGGAGGAAGGAAAAGAAATGAAAAAGAAAGAGGCACCAAAGAAGGGTCTACAGAAATATCCAACTTTGGGGGAGGAAAAGGGAAGAGTTTGCATTTGTACCAAATAAAATTATTTTTCAGTGTGGTGCCTTCAAAATTAATATTTCTATCATAAATTTACTCAAACACTATTACATTTAATAATTTTCTTTTAATCAAAATTCTTTCAGGATTTAGCCCATTGTCTCCGACCTCTTGGTTTTAAATGCAGTTCAGTTCAGCCTATCACAGTAGAGCTTCAATACTATAGGTGGGCTTTTCAAGAATCACTTGTGCTTAATTCTCTATTTGCTTTCAAAATAAGACAATACTTTCATTCTTAATACGAATCGTATTTTCTCATACAATTAAGCACAAAGATCTCAGTGGATCAAATTATTTGGAGACCTCCTGGAGTTTGTGGTCTGCTGAGGAAGGTTTCTCCTCCCTCTGGCTCTGCAGCTGTGAGCCACAGTTACTTGTACCCAATCAACAGAGCTGGGATCTAGGAACCAGGCTTGAACTATTTTAGCAGAATCCTGGGAGTGGAGGAAAGATCACCCTTATTGGTGAACTTTCAGGTAGTTTTTCAAGGTAAAGACTGAAAAATACTCTCTGATAAGAGCACATTAGCCTATGCTCATTTAGGGACAAGCGGTGTTAGAGTGATAGAGTTGTAGAAATCCTGCCTGACTGATAAATGGCAGACTTCTTCCTACACTGCAGGTGATGCTACGAGACAGGCTGTGCTTCGGCTTCTTTCTGCCTCTGACCGTGCAGCGTGGGCCCATCCTGGGACGCAGAGCGTGGAAGGGGACGCAGACGACGGGGCATGTAAACGTGCACTGCCTTCTGACGATCGAGATTGCAAATTGCCTTTTTATACTGGCTCACTCTTTCCAGGTACTCAGTTTAAATTATTTAGAGAGAAAAATCACTTACTGTGGTAAATACTATCTGAGGCCTAAGTTTCATTTCTTACTTCAGCTTCCAATCTTTTTAGCGGCATTAAAATGTTGCTAAATATCTGCCAGTGTTCCTCAATGTGTAAACCGTTCTAATTTTCATAGTCGAAAAGTGTGAAGACAAAGTCGATTCTTTTACTGCAGTAAGAGGGTGTCCATAAAGCACCGGGGCGTGTTACGGTCCATTTTCTATGTGTGTGCAGGTATGACCATCCAATAGCCTTACCTCCTTAGTTTCTGAGCGGATTGTGGCTCCCTCTTACATAGTGACTGGGTGCACAGACACAGGAATGCAAAGTGTATGAGCCCTTGTCAACACTGAAAGCTCCAAACCTGTGTGGAGCGGTCCCCAAGCAGGCGCCTCCATAATATCTAAGGAAAATCAATCTTAACCTGTGGTGTGCTTTAAAAACCACTACTTGATTGAGCCACATCTTAAGATATTTTCATTCAGAGCCTGACATTTTTAAAAACAAAAGCAGCCACAGCTGGCTGCGTCACGGTGCTGTGTTGGCATTAGACTCTCAAAGCACCTGCAGGTGCGATTATGCATTCCTGTCAGGTCATGCCCTAGAAGAAGTGAGTCAGGGGCTTTTGATATACCAGGAATACAGGTTTTATGCCACTGAATATTTCTGTCTACTAGAAAAGGATTCTTGTTTTACCTGAGCTTTGGGGACAAATTATTCTTACGAAGTTATCACATCTTGCCACCTGCAGCGTATGATGTCACAGGTGTGTGCAGCTTAGTGTGGAGAGAATGAAGCACAGTGGTGAATCGGGCAGTAAAGTCATTATTTTCACTCCATTAAAATTTAGGTAAGAGGATAAAAGGAATAGCATAGTTAATCTACTACATCACAGAAAAGCCTTCATTTTTCCCGGTGTAAAATAATGCTCAGTATACTTAAAATAGCAATAGTAACCACCACATAGGCAAGGTCTGCGATGGGAGCATGAGCCACTCCCATGAGTTACTAGGAGACAAGGGGTGTGACCCTCGGGTCCTCTTGGGCTGGTTCAAATTAGGACTGCGCTGAGACCCACACCCACCAATGGTGCAGCCCAGTGTTTCCGGAACCTGCTTTTTGTCATTGCTATTTTGCCGTTACTTTGAGCTGTACCCAGTCCCTCAAGTGCATGAATGATTTTCACTATGAATAAGACAAAAAGGCCAAGAGTAATCCCTTTGGCTTTACACTGTGACCACTGCGACCAGAATTAATTTGAAAACTGATGTTTCTATCACGTCCAATAAGGACAGTCTAATTCACTCACTTATCTGTTCTGTTTAGACGATCTCGCTCATTCATTTATCTATTCTGTTCATATCGCCTCAGTACATATGCCATTTCGGAAGTATATCTTCAAGTCTTATTTCATTAGGGAAACCTATTTTTAAGTAGAGGCAACAAAGCATGGGTACAAACAGATATAATGTGCAGTAAAATGAACAGAGACAGAGGGCCAGAAACTGTGTCACAACGGAGAAGGAGGGAGATATCATTTCTAGTCAGATGTTTTCTAAGATTTGGCCTTAAAACAGGTAGATTAATAAGGAATGAATTCATATTTGCCAAAAATATTTAATATAACAGAACTATCAATTTCAAACACGTTTATATTTGGTGCCAGTCAAAGTACATTTAAAGACAGTAACATAGGGCAAAGGCCTTGTTACTGTGTTCATAGTGGAATTCGATCATAAAAGTAGAGGACAGGACAGGAAAATCACATGCACATGCTTGAAAAAAGGCAATGAATCAGAACACTAGAATTTCTGAATAGAGATGGAAATTTAAACAACAAATCTGTCATTTAGCTGTAAAAATAGATAAGGTTATACAAGTAGATTTTTTTCTGAAATGGCACTTATTGCCAAATTAAAAAAAAAAACAAAGCTCAGAAACATTGTGGAAGAAACAGATTCCTCATCCAAGAGTTAGGCCTGCAGAATTCAGATTAATCTGCCAGAATGTGGTGACCTGTCCATGCCATAGACATTAAATGGAGAAGCAGGAAGAAACTGTGGTGCCTAGAAGAAATGGAAGCATGTGACAGGTGCTGCACATTGTCCAGCACATTTAGTTTGGAACAGGAGGAATCTGATGACTTGCAAGTCATACCGACTGCTTTATCAGCCACTGGAAATGCTGAGCTGGTCTCTGTGTGTGTCTCTTTTCTGGAGCCCTAGAACCAAAATCAAAATTCCAACCCTTTTCAGCAAGAGAAGAAGTTGTAACGTCAATAAAGAATTGTAAATAAAAAGACAATGAATCAACAAAACATTTATTTAAATATGTAAAGTTTAATTTTGTTTATTGAGAGGGAGAAGAGGTACCATTGGATGGAAGGTGGAGGTTAGATAAAATCAAAAGACAAGTGAGAAAAGCAAAACTGATCACATTTCTGACAAAGAGTAAAAAGAATAGCAGTGATTTCCAAGAAAGTTCATTTTGAAAAGGATCATTATCATTATCATTATTAATTGAAAATAAAATTACTAGAAAAAATGCTTAAGAAAAACTAATTTTGGAAATATTCTTAACAAGATAAAATAATCTGTAGGTCACAATTTTTTTGTGTTGCTTAACAAGAACAATACCACATATTTCTATATTACTGTGTTCAGGGAATTAATGAAGTATTGAGGTCCAACAGCATGTGCACTCGGTCCCTCAACAGTCACACCATTAAGGACCTATATGGTTCTAAACCAGAAGCAATCAGGAAATAATCAGTATCCTTAAGTTATTCAAAAATTCAATGTATTTCATTGACATATATGACATTTTTAGCTGAAAATAGGCTTAATTTTATGTCTTTTTCTAGAAGTAATAATAATGAGACACGTGAATACTCATTTCTTGCCTTAAGGTTAAATATCAAAAGTTATAATTTTATTTTTACAATATTTCCTTCTAAAGATAGCAGTGGAGACTATCATATATTAAATATACATACGTACTCTGAAAAGCTTCTACATTACAAATGCTTATGGAGATTTTTTTCACAAATGAGTCATCATTATAGCTTTTTGCACATCAGTTCCTTTTTATCTATATTTTTAAAATAAATTTTGAGTATACCATTACAAATATCCTCTAATGGCACAACTTTAGTCAAGGTTTATGTTTCATCTATATTATTATTAAATATATTAAAGTCAGAATCTCCATATTATAAGGCCAATTAAATTTCTATGCACTGCTTTAGCAATAATAAGTAGAATATGAAAATTCATCTCCAAGTAGAGAAATTCTGATAAAGAGTGTATGAAATATAACTTTATGTTGATGACACCATACTTGAACATATTTAATTCAGCTGGTACATTGTTAATAAAATGCATTTATTTTAATATCACATCATCAAAGCTTGTTCAAAACAAAATACTCCAAAAAATCCATTAATCTTAAGAGGACAGTAGGAAATGAAGGCAATGAAACCAGAAAGACACTGCCGCACCACTCAGCCTTCTCCCATCAATAAGCAATTTGCTTTATAGAACAGTTCAACTGCAGCCATGGCAACAGTACCATTAAGGAAAATCTCAGAACTTCAAGGCTGCTTATTTGAGTGTCGTTTCTTAAATATGGTAATATGACCTGCAGCAGGCCGAAGTTTGCCTTTCGACTTAAAATGGTAAGGAAGTGGTGGTCTCAAAACACACATGAGCAATCGTGTTTGTGTCTGAGAAATCTTACAAGTAGCAATTTCAACATGTATTTTCATTAACAGAACAACTGCACTGATTTGGATGCTT